TGTTCGTGCGGGCATCTTCCGTGACGTACGCCGGTGGTGGATTCGTATTTCGCTGTGATTGATTGATTTGATAGTCGTGGTTTGGTTGCAGGTCAGCAAGGGCATCGTGCCACCGAACTTCACTCTCAAGGACCAGAACGGCAAGCCCGTGTCGCTGAACAAGTTCAAGGGCAAGCCCGTCGTCGTCTACTTCTACCCCGCCGACGAGACGCCCGGATGCACAAAGCAGGTCAGCTTCCTTCCTGCGCAAATGCCTGAGCCGATACTTTACTGAAACTCTGAAACCATGCATCGGTTTTGTTGCCTCCAAGAAAAAGCAAGAAACTCTGAAAAGGCAGCTTGTGGTTTCCATTCCTTTAGTTGACTTTTGACTTTTATAGAAGGAAAAGCTCAAAAGCAGCTCTCAAAAGCCTAGCCAAAGGCACCCTGAAACTGATGTATGCAAGTCGCAGTTGGCAAAATGCCTGAAATTCGCGTCTTTATGTATCTGACCTCCACCAATCCTCTAATCTGCGCTCTACTAGACTACTATATACCGCGGTTGCTACATATGCAGGCGTGCGCGTTCAGGGACTCGTACGAGAAGTTCAAGAAGGCCGGGGCGGAGGTGATCGGCATCAGCGGCGACGACGCGGCGTCGCACAAGGCGTTCGCGCAGAAGTACCGGCTGCCGTTCACGCTGCTGAGCGACGAGGGGAACCGCGTGCGCAAGGAGTGGGGCGTCCCCGGCGACCTGTTCGGCACGCTCCCCGGGCGGCAGACGTACGTGCTGGACAAGCAGGGCGTCGTGCAGTACATCTACAACAACCAGTTCCAGCCCGAGAAGCACATCGGCGAGACGCTCAAGATCCTGCAGAGCCTCTGATCGGATCACCCTCCGCGCGTGTTTGGTCAAGCACATCTATCATCTGGCCCGTGCTCTGCATCCGTCCGTCGCTGTAAAGTACGTACGGGACTATATATGTAGTGTATGTAATCAAGAGCTGATAATTTGTTCTATCCTTTCGGTCTATCATATTAGACGACCCTGTTTCGCTGTTTCGTTTGATCGACCAGCCTCTTCCTGTTTGTCATGGTCAGTTTCAGTTGTAACTCGTTGAACCCAACCATTTCTGTATATGCACGTGGCAGACTACATGTGCAGTTTTCTCCCTTCCCTTGTAAAAATAGACAAGGTAGTTCGTGCGAAACGTGTATGCGCGGCATATTTCTGAATCATCAGACGCCACGCACGGGCGCTGGAGATTTCTGACCTCGACACCACAGGCCGAATTCAGCAAATACTAACAACGGACACGCTACGTAACGATGGAACGCAGTTTTACAAGGCACGCACGCACGTCTGAAACTGAAACTGAAACTTACCCCTGTACATACTGCTGCTGTTTTCTATCTTCACACGCCCCCTGGAAAAGGAAAAAGTCTACTACACCCCCTCAACTATTGATAGTTGTCTACTTTATCCCCTCACCTATCTACCTCTCAAACTATTAAAAACTGTCTAAATAACCCACTGAGGCGGTTTTGAATGTGGTTTCGCTGACTTGGCATATTAAAAAGTCTACATGACCCCTTAACATAATAAGTGTCGACTACATAATCCCCTCAACTATAAAATATGATATTATAGCCCTTAAATTATCCAATAATATCCAAATGACCCCCCTTAAATGGTCTTGTAGGTCCGTTTGGACACCGTATCCTGACACATTGGCCTAAGTACCCATGCTTGTGCGCATGCCACATTTTCTACCTTAATCTCCCAACCCTTTCTAGGCTAACCCACCACCCAACGAGAAGCACGTGACATCTTATCTCTTGATCCACTTCCCGACACTCGTGGATGATATTGAGCTCAAGCACCATGCCTACACCCTCATCATCTGGCCCCTCCCACATCCTCTATCAGAATGACAAGGGTGTAGGCGTAGTGCATGAACTCAATGCCGTCGAGGAGTGCCATGATGTGGAGCAGGAGACAGGGTGATGCTCATCGGGCGGTGCCATAATCCTAGAAAGAGTAGGGAGAGAGAGGCAGCCAATGGGCCTACGTGTAAGTATGAGTGCTTAGGCCAGTGTGATGGGATACGATGTCCAAACAGCCCTACAAAACTATCACGGGTCATTTGAATATTATTAAATATACTTTAAGGACTATAATATCTGGTTTTATAGTTGAGAGGTTATTTAGTTAACCCTTAATATGTTAGGGGGTTATGTAGACCTTTCAATATGCCACGTGAGCGAAATCACTTTTAAAACCACTTTAGAGGGTTATTTAGGTGGTTTTCAATAGTTTAAATGATAAAATACCTGATTTTATAGGTGAGGAGGTGAAATAGATAACCACGTATATTTTGGAGGTTAAGTAGACTTTTTTTTTTCCTGGAAAATGTACGAGTGTAACGCTGGTACATATCATCCATCAGTCAGAATTGTGCTCGGCACATCCATCTGTCGAGGAAAATAAAGCCTGCTTTGCTTGGCTGCTCCCAACCACAACCAACCGTCCGTGCGCATGTTCCAGTTGCCCCGTCACTTACAAAGTTGCAAGCCGTCCCCGTCCCAGCCCCCATCTCGCGCTATTCTCGCCTCGCCGCAAGAGAATACTCCTACGCCGAAAGACGTCACCATCCGGACCGGACCGGACCGCACCGCACCGACTTGACGGTGGCGGCTCCCAAAATTGATAGGGGCACCTGGACTCAAATAAAAGGGCATCATATAAAGCCTTCTAACCTCCGAGGATCTCAACTCTGAACTCCAAACCGCTTCCCTTGTTTTGTTTCTGAAGTCGACTCTAAAGTCGTTGATAGCTATCTCACGGTGCATAAAAAATAATTAACACACATGATGTTTGTTAATGTATAATATACTCTCTCCGTCCTAAAACAAATCAACTCCTAGATTACCCTAAGTCAAACTATCTTGAATTCTTGAGTTTAATAAATTTTATAGGGAATAGTAAGATCTATAACAGCAAATAAGTATATTGAGAAAAAGATATTTCATGTTGTATATATGTCAATTTAGTGTCCAATATAATGATGCCATTTTCTTTTTTTTTAATTCAAAAATTTTGATTTAACATAAATTTAGAAGTTTATTTATTTTGACGTGTAGTGAGTAGGCAATATTTGTCAGCCTAGGTTAAAAAGCCTCCTCTCATCAGCCTAGGTTAAAAAGCCTCCTCGTCAGCCTAGGTTAAAAAGCCTCCTCTTGTCGATCCAACTAGGCTCTCGGAGCATCTCCAAGAGCCTTTCTAAAATCTACTCTCTAAATCATCATTTAGAGTCATTTGAGTGAAAATCATTTTCTATATCTTTGTACCCTCCAACAACTTTTCTATATCTTGTGCCTAGTCTAGAGAGCCATTCTCGCTCTCCATTGCTGGCTAGCGAGAAATCCAAAAATAGAGAATGTCTATATTTAGATATCCAATTGAAGAGATTGTTGGGGGTTGCTTATCACCTAAATCTCTATTCCTACAAATTAGGAAAGGTATAAAGAGCCTCCTGGAGATGCTCCAATTTTGGCCACAAGCCGAAGTGGAACTCACGATAGAAGAAGCAGGAAACTGTCCCAAGTCCCAACTATATCAAAAAAAAGTGTAATAGGGCAAACAATAATTGTTTTAATAGTACATGTTTCGAAAAATTCAAGAGTTGGTTAAAATTTGCAGAGAGAGAAGGGAGATCGACAAGAAAAAACACACAGGAGAAAGGGAGATTCAAGGGCTGTTTTGTAAATCTTTTTCAAAGTTTATACAATTGTACTAGAAGCACAAATAATTCTTTCAATAGTACAAATAATTTTGTCAAACAATTCATGGCCTGAAGAGAATATTATGGAGGGAGAAGGGAGATTCAATTCTTAGTCCATGGTGAGCCGCTTCCCCACAGTGAATTGCTTTCGCTGTAGTATCTCTTTGTAGACTTCAAGAAAGAAAATATTCATATAATTATATGTACCTGTTTTCATCGTGATCACTCATCTCGAGCCATTGTTTGCATGGTCTAAGTCTTTTTCTTTATTGATATACATAATTGGCAACTATCTATCCGTTTTTTAAAATATAACTTGCTAAAATTCATGTACCTGAATTTTAAATTCCTTTTAGGCGACGATTACTGTATATATTTTATATTAAAATTACAGCTTTAGTTCGTTGCGATCTCTATATGCACAATATACAATTTTCGGTTCCGAGAATAAAAAAATCCATTAGACAAAACCACAAATACGATAAAATCTGCTTTGTGTTGGCAAAAAACAACTAACAATTTACCATTGTTTCTATAGTCAGACAATGACAAAATTTTGATACGTTATGATACAAAGACAAATAATAAATCACAAAAGTAACAATTTACTTGTACTAGTTGATGGTATAAAAGTATAATCTGAAATCATTTTAAAATTCAGCCACACGAAAGACAAGATAATACTATTCCACTTGTTTTCATGTGCACATAGCAGTATTTGTCATGGTAGGTAGGCTAAAACTAGTACTAGCACAGAATGAAGAAAAAATAAGACAACGAAAAACAAAATGCAAATCCGGCATCCGTCGCAGCATCTCCCGGATAAAGTGTATATTTAGTTTCCAAAATTTTGTAAAAATTTTCAAGATTCTCCGTCACATCGAATCTTTAGACGTATACATAAAACATTAAATATAGATAAAAAATAAAACTAATTACACAGTTTAGACGAAATTCACGAGATGAATCTTTTCGTAAAAATTTTTGCCAACTAACAAAACCTCCGATACCCAGAATGTTCCCGTTTTGATGCCCTCCCGATCTCAGCATCCAACGGTCCATATTCAATCAACGCCCCCTCCCACACCTCTCCGCCATTAAATACCTCACCATCCAGACCCAGCCAGACAGAGCAGACAAGTGTCCGTCCAAAGCAACCGACCGGGAGAGAGAGAGAGAGTCCGGGAAGCCGAGACCGAGAGAAGCGCACAGCTCTCCGGCGAGATCGATCGATCGATGGACCTCTTAGAGCACCCCTTGGAGGCTGTCGCCTTCCGCCTCTACTCCCTCCCGATCCCGGAGGCGGCCTCCGCGGCCACAGGCGCCGCGGCCGCGTGGACCTGCCTCGCCGCGGTCCTTGCCGCCGCCGCCGCGGGCCTTTGGCGCCTGCGCTCATCCACGCCCGCCGCCGCTGTCGCCGTCTCCACGAAGCCTCTGCAGCTGGATCCGTCTCGCTCCGCGGAGGTGTCGTCGCCGGAGCCGCCGTCCAGGCCGTCGTTGCCGACCGCGGCGGCGTCGACCAAGGAGAGGTACACGGCGTACTACCGCGACGCCGGCTGCGTCGGGTGCTGCGACGTGGGCAGCGACGAAGACGGAAACAACGACGAGGAGGAGGATGACGATGCGGACGAGGAGCACGAGGACGGTGACCGCAACGTGTTCGTTTCGGATGGGGCGGATCCTTTCGGGTGGGAGGTGGTGAGGTCGCTGCGGCCTCTCAGCCCGACGGCGGCGGCGGAGATGGGGCGGCGGTACCGGAGGAGCCCGACGGCGGCGCTCAGCAGCGGCAGCGTGGTGCAGCTGTGGGATCACGGCGCCGGGGCTGGGGCCGGGGGTAGCTTGACGACGCCGATGGCGAGCCCGCGGCGGAGGGGCCGAGTAGTCGTCGGCGCCGTCTCGGCCTTCTGAGTTCTGAACATCCAAAGTTCAGATGAGCAATAAAATTGGCACTTGTGGTTGGAAAAAAAAGAAGATAGAGATAAGATTCTGCAGTTGTTTGTTCCCTGCTCCAGCTAGTCCTGTACCAACATGTAAATACGAATTATTCCGCATTCTCGATCACATTTACTACGTGCATGCTATGCCCTCTCGTCTCGATCGATCACATATTCATATTGATTTTCTCTGGCACCTTCAAACGACATCACATAAACGCCCAAGTTTTCTTTCTGTTTGGCTGGATCAACCGATCAAGGCCGGGTGTGGTGATGGCGTAGAGCAGCATGAGCATGACGTTCGTTCCCATGATGAGCAGAGCCACAGGCCACAGCGAGACGGACAAGGATCCATCAGGAATCGCTTTCACGCGCCTCAATGTGCTTCACCCTCACCTACCTTTGCAGGCTTCCAGAAGCCCTTTTCCTCCTGCGCATTGTCCGTCCCGTCCGATTGACCGGCGGTGTCTGAGCTCGGTACACCTGTTACTGCCACTGCGAGCTGGCTGCTGGGACGAGCCACCGATTGACTGGCAGTGTCCGTCGATCGCGATGGATCGCCGTGCGTTTGTTGCTGCTGTTCCAAGTTAGGAGGACCCGTACCAACCGCGCACGGCGCTGCTGGTAAATTTGGTGCCGCCGTGCCGGCTGCCGGGGCATGGGGTCGGCTGGGCTGGCGTCACGTTGCCGCTGAACGAAGGTAATCTGTCTCCTAGGTAATTTTCCTTTTCCAGTGCCGTGGCGGTGGCGGTGCAGGGGACAAGACATGCTCGGCGGAGACGAGCTGATGCCACTGCCAGGAACTGAGACGCTTGTCTGGTCACGGTCACTTGCATTGGTCAGTCAGCCCCATGCGGCCATGCTTCGTGCGTTGGGAGCTGAACGAATTCAGTTTCGGGACTGTTTCGGCTTTCGTGACGCTGCCGACGATGATCAACATGAGGGCCGCATGCGTTTGTGGTTGTCAGGCCAAACAAACGTCTCCCTTGCTTAGAGCAGCACCAACGCACCACGCTGTCCATATGCCAAGTAGCTTTGTAGAAACACTCAGAGCAAATATAATAACATGTTGGAAGCTGGCTAAATGCTGTGGTGGAGGAGAGATGAGAAGAGAGAGAGAGAGCGTCAGTAAATGTACCGCCTTGACACAAGAAACAAAGAAAATCTGTGAGAGAGATAAGTGGGTCATGTATTAACGATAAAGAGCTAACTACTCTATGGGCGGGCTAAGATAAGGCTACAAAGAATCTTACAACTACTGTATTATTAGCCTGCAAGCCGGCTGTATTATTAGTCTTGCTCTTAGAGCTTCATCAGACACGACGCAGAAGCACTCAATCGAGAATGTGTTGACAGGTGAAGAAAGCCAATACAAAGCTTTATTGTAGGGGACCATCTGAATGAAGGACGGTGAAAAGTGACAAAGTGTGGTGAAAACGGGAAGCATTGTCCTACGTTGAGGCTCATCTGGCTTCATCTAGTGATTGTCTAGTTGGACAGCGTCTTTTTTCTCAAGGCTAACAACAATGTATGCCACTGTTGGACATACTCTTAGGGCTAGTTTGGTTCAAGCCCTGGACTAGTCGCTTGTGTTCAAAACCTGCCGTGAACTGCTTGTACGTGATTATAAAATTGCTTAACCAGGCACATGTTAAATCCGTAGTACTATTTGGTTGGCGACATGATACAATGCCTCAATGGCAAGGGGGCACAGGCGTTGTTTGGGTGAGTTTGCCTATATTGATTGATGTTGAGAAAGTAACCGTGAGCATTAATTGGAGCCGGGCAACTCCTAGGAGATTCCATGCGATCAAATTTGAAGGACTGACATCATCAGACAACTACAGTTAGGCAATAATGCCAGGATTTTTACGAAACATACACCAGGAAAATCTCAAGCAAAGATACCTACCAGGTATTTTTGGTCAGGGTTCCATCCTCATTAAGAGTAGGGAGGCACCCGGCGTGAGAGATATGCCAAGAAACCCAAACGGGCACTTGATCCCTTTCTGTGGCCGGCGGCGTCTTTGGCAGAAGAGGCTCGCAACGACATCGTCACATCGAGTAGATTGTTCCCCTGGCTTCACTCATCCACTCATCCTGCTCTGGCGGACTGGCCCGTGACCGAGCGCGGCAATAGTACCAGGCTGTAGACGCACACCCTTGACTACTGCCACGGGCGGCACAAAAGTTGTTGCCGATGCAACAACAACAACAATGGCCACTATTGGCTATTGCAGTGGTGTTTAAAATGGGTGGTGGTGGATGGACCTGTGCCGCCGTACGCGTTCTAGCTCTAGCTTGTGGCTCTCGACTCACGTACGGCCATACGTGCCCCGTGGTGGGGCAGGTCGGTCGGTCGTCGCCGGTAGTACCTTCTCGTCGTCTCAGCTTCACTGTAGTGGCGGTTAAACTATTAGAGACAACGTCACCATCGTACCAGTATACTACTCTATTTGCATCGAGAAAAAAATGTGATCGATCTCAGGGTTACAATCTGTCGGGAGACGAGAGATGGCGTTTGGAAGGCCTCGGCGGTTTGGTGGCGTATGTATGGCCTTGTCCGCACGGTCGGCGCGCGTCAGGCACCACCGCGGCGCGGTGGCCGTTGTGGTGTGGACGCGTGGTCGGGTCCGTGCAACGCACACGTAGCTAGTTTTTTTCCCCGTCCACTCTTCTCAACCGCTCGCCTTCCTCCGGCCGGTCGCGGTCGGGCTAGCAGCTGGCCCCGTCGTCTCTCGCGGCCTGGCCGGGCGATCGAGCAGGACGGCTGGACTCTGGAGGACTCAGCCTGGAGGGCAGGGGCCTTGCACGGTGGGAACATACGGTGCGGCGGTGGTTTTACTCGATCGATTCTGATTTCTGATTGTGGCGTGGCTGAGCCGGTGTGGGCTGTGCAAGCCACTTTGAGCCTCTACGAGACCATTATGGATGCGTTTCTCAACTAAACCTGACTAAGAAAATACCCATGCTTGAGATAGCCTGTCCAAGTCAATGCGACCTGGCAGTGTTTGGTTGCCACGGGCTAGCTAAGCCTGGATAAGCTAGTTTTTGTTTGGTTCCTGAATTATTTGGTGCTGTTACCTCTTCTCTACAATGGTGACATTACCTTCGTCACCTTCATTTTCTCTGTTCATCTGGTCGCAAAATCCATCCATCAGAACAAGAGAAGAACAAGCAAAGTAGTTAATCTCGACAATGCCGGCCGCCGATTCGCCGTGAGGTGCCCGCCGACGAGACCGCGAAGGAGGATGACCAGTTGCGGGCCCATGCCGGCTCCCAAGCCTACAGATCCGCCCCCTGCAGATCTATTAGCGAGGTTGGAGGCGAGGCGGGTTGAAAGGTCGTCGGAGGCGAGGTGGACGACGGCGTGCGTCTGCACGAGAGCGAGGAGGAAGTGGAGCGGCGGCACGCGGATGCACGAGAGCGAGGAGCGGCGTCCGTGCGAGTGCGAGAGGTGAGTGGAGCGCTGGGCCGCTTGCTCAAGCCAGGTCAGGCGGAAACACCCGCCCCACCGTTTCCAGCTAAGGCCATGTTCGGTTGCAGTGGAACCAATCCAGGAGGGATTGAACCAGGGGTACGTGTGTAGCGAGACTGACCATCGCGAGTCCTCCAATTCGCAGGTATGCAAGATCTTGTGCCGATGCCGTGGGAGGACCTAGCGCCGCAGCCGTCGCGCTCGCCTCCGGGGGATTCGTTCCATGACTCCAGAGTAGTGGTTTCATTCCTGGTGGGGTGCGGCCGTATAGCCAGGTCTTTGCAGACGGGGGTGCGGCTGTATAATCGAAACAGACCCGGTATACAGGGTTTCACAGGCTAACTGAACACGTATTTTAGGGAGGAATGGGATTGAATCCAGGCCAGGATTGATCCACAACCGAACATGCCCTAAGCCTGGCTAAGTGCCCATGAGTGTCTTGCTGGGGCCTAGCTTGGAGGCCTGTTCAGGCAACCAAACATAGGCCTGTTCAAGCAACCAAACAAAACCCAAATTAGCTCTGTGGAGCCTGACCAGGGATAAGCCAGGAACCAAAAACTCCCTATATACTCCCCTATATAACAAAGTGTAAAGCGATCCAGAATATATGTGTAACAAAAGCGTCGATAAGGTGGTTTTCATAGCTCCCTGTACTTCTGCCCTCGGAATGAACAGCCTAGGTTGCAAACGACCAAATATTGGGAGCACTATGATGCAAATGTTTCTGAGTACACACTGCACACAGAACAAAAGATGTTTATTCGCCCAGATCAAGCACTGTTCTCTCTTCTCTGCAAGTAACCGAGGAGTTCATCAATGAACAAACCCTCCCTCAACAAGGTAGTCCGAAGCCACCCGGACTACAAGTAACAAAGGCACAAAGCTGTAGTTAAGTTACAGGTTATAAACTACAAAATTGACTTTTGTAAAAATCCGTGTTCCCCAAGATGACTGTATCTTCAGTGTGGTTTCGGTACATAGCCATCTACTGCAAGTTTCTTGTGGCTACAGGTAATGCCAGCCAGATACCATCAAGTTCAGGCTTCATGATCACTTGGCAGCCGAGGCGAGACCTGAATACAGTTCCAACAAGTCAGAATAGAGTTATGAAACTACGGCAAACCCACCTCTAATAATACTTTGGGTGGGGTCAGCATGAATTTCTTAATGGTTGTGATTCATCTAATGCATCACTTTGTTGTATATATGAATTAAGCATTCTGAGCCATCTGTACAGAACGGCCAAATTAGTTATTTCTTATAAAACTAGTTGGAGCTGTCATAGTTTCGATTGTTCATGAACATACAGTACATACTTATTATGCCTATTGCCTAGGACCTAGGTGCCAGTGCCACTATAACAGCAGTTAGTTCATGCAGACTACAAACTGGTTTTGGAAACTTTCAAGACTAGTATAAAAACAACTGGATCTTGTCCAAGGCCCACCATTTCTGTTACCTCAACATTCAACACCCATAGCCATCAAATTTAGAACAGATTCTGACAATTACTCCCAGAAACTCAAATATTGAAATGTTTGTCTCCGTTATACAGAGATTGCTAAATTCAGGAGTTAATATAATAAGAGAAGTAAGTTACTTGACTAGGAGGATCTTGACTTACGTTTCTGTGAGCCCAAATGCAAGGTCAAGCATATCATTTTCTTCATCCGCTGGATCTTCTAACTTGTTATAACAGTTTACATCCTGGATAAGATAAAGAATTGTAGTTAGCAGTGAAACTAGAATATCGACGGCAACAACAACAATAAAACCCCAAGAAAATTAGGGCAGGTTAGACTGCTAGAGATGAAACCCAACATGAGCCACCAGCTCAAAGGAAAAAAACATTGTATAAAATAAAAAAGGCATTATTAATAGAAAATTGAAAACGTATATCGTGATCATACCATTACTATTACATGACAAGTAGAACACGCAAGTGAGCCCTCACATGCTCCTGCAGTAGCCACAATAGCAGGGAAGGTTATCATGAACTACAGCTGAAAATCAGTTGATAGAACAAAAAAAAGGAATGATTACGATACCTAATGTATTGATGAAAAATGGTAAAACCATGGAACCAGGTGACTGAACATGACTAGTTTGTTTTTAGGGTTAACTGGATCTATGCCATTATAATTTCTTCGTTTCTGAAGAACGTCATTACTATTCGCCTATTTGGAAGCATGCCATTACAATTCTTCGGTTCCCACAAAAATGCCACTGAATACGTATGGACACAGCCTGGGCCCAGCTGCAGGCGTATACGAAGACGTATACTTCATCTCCCTGTCACTAACACGCGGGCCCCACATGTCATCTTCCTCTTCCTCATCTCTCTCTCGGGCTCTCTCTCTCTCCATCCCGACGCGGCCACGGCGGGCGCTGCCGGCGGCGGCGGCTACGGGCTTGTGGGCGAGCCGACGAGCCGCTGTCGTGACCCCGCGCGCCGCTGCTCGGCGTGCTGCTGGCCTTCCACAGCGGCGGGCGCCTCCTCCTCCTTGGCCGGCGTCCGGCGGACCTCCTCCATGGATACGGCAGGCGCGGTCCCATCCCCGTCCCCGCGAGCTCCAGCAGGCACGGCCCCTTCCCCGCCCCCAACCCAGGCCGCTGCTGCTGCTGCGCCGCATGGCGCTGCCGGCGTCTTCTTTGCTCTGCTGCTGCTCGCCGTGGCGTCATATATCGGCGATATAATGGCGGGCTGCCATGAGAGAGAGAGAGAGAGAGCCGGAGAGGGAGCGCTTGCGAAGCCGATGGAAGCAGCGGAAGGGCGCAAGATGGCTTGTGCGAGGAGATCGACGAGCTCGGGTCGACCCCGGCAATGGCGGCGGCGGTGCTTGGTGGAGGCGCTGGAGCAAGGAGGGCTTGTGCTGCTGCTGCTGCTCGCGGCTTGGAGATGCCCATCTCCCCGAGCGCGGCCATCACCTCCTCCCCGAGGCCGAGCTCCTCGAAGCTCTCGGCGGCCTCGACCCTCTTCCCCTTCCCCTGTTGCGAGCTTCGCTCCGCGGCCCTCGAGGCGGGCCTCGGGACGCCAGGGGACGAGGCGTCCTTGAGGTGGCGGAGGCGGAGGCGCTCGAGGAGGAGCTCGTGCCGCGGAGGGGGAGCGGGAGTGGAGGTGGGGCCGAGGGTGGGGGCGGCGGTGGAGAGGGCGGCGCGGAGGAGGCGGAGCCGGAAAGGGGACGGGTGGGAGAGAGAAGGCAGCGACCCGCGGCGGCGGCGCCGGCCATCGCCATGGGCGACCCACGGTGGCCTGGTGCTCGGGATGGAGAGAGAGAACTGGAGAGAGAGATTCGGAGAAGAGGAAGAAGATGACATGTGGGGCCCGCGTGTCAGTGACAGGGGAGATGAAGTATACGTCTTCGTATACGCCTGCAGCTGAGCCCATACTGTGTCCATACGTATTCAGTGGCATTTTTGTGGGAACCGAAGAATTATAATGGCATGCTTCCAAATAGACGAATAGTAATGGCGTTCTTCAGAAATGAAGAAATTATAATGGCATAGATCCAATTAACCCATGTTTTTATATAAAAAAGATCCATATATTCTTATCACCAAGCATGAACTGACTACAGAACCATAAAGGCAATAACCACGCTGGAAGGGAAGTGCACATTTCCTTAATATTTGTACCTTCAAGCTCTATGTCGTTTTCATGAGCGGCTTCTAACATGGACATTCCAACTGGAACACTTATTGTCTTTTCTGAGCCATCCTCGTTGACAAATGTTACCGAGATTCTGTGCACAGTATGGAGAAAAATAACCTCATCAATCATCAGAGGACTGCCTCTACCCTAAATAATTCTTGAAAGCACACTAACAATTCAGTAAAACTGATGAAGCTATTGTTTAGTGCATATTCCTCTAGATGTGGAAGGAGCATGAGCAGCTCCTTAAATGGAGAGACAACAATAACAAAAGAATTCCATGTTAGAAGGATCTGGGCTAAGCTGTTACCTGGTTATACAAAGACAACCAGGGAGTTCAAATTTTGTGATATATAAGAGGATGAAACAAGAGACAAATGCACTTACTTATCCTTTGCCTGACTGCTTTCATCCTGATCACCACTTGTTGTAGTTGACAAAAGGACATTCCGCTAAAAAAATAAAGAAAAATTAATACAAATAAACTTGAGAGATAAATCATCACTCCTGCAGTACAAAGGCTTTGATTACAGTTCTCCAAAAGTTTAAAATCTAATAACTTGTTGAGGTAAAAGAATGCCAATCTTCTTTTGCCACAGCCATTTCAGAATGGGGAATGTATAGATAGATTTATCGAATAGAAACCAAATCATGAAAATTATAGATATAGTCCAAATCAATGTCGGTTGATTAAGTGAATCAATAACTAGTAATATATTTATTATTAACGGGAAAGAAGGGTAACTGGGGACATGTTCATCTAAATAAATTCTTCACTACCAATCTTTAATTCTTACCAAGGATAATACAGTAGGAGTCACCACTGGTGTCGAATGCCGATTAACATGACCTTGATACAAAATGCCTCGACTGCTTCGCAAGTTTCCTGCCAGACAAAAGTAGCATCATTCAACAAGACACCAATCCTGCAGCTTTACAACATTAGCAATATATAAACTCAGGAGAATCCCAAAGCCAAAATGCAAGAAACATAACATTCCGCAGAATCATAGGGCTGGTCGAAGTTAGCAAAATTTCACCACGATTGATGAGCAACAAACCAATAACGAGTAGGCCACCAATAATAGAGGGAAATGAGCTAAGAGGAAAGTGAAGATACCAACCAGCTCTCGTCTCGGCTCTCGACTCGCGCAGGAGCCGCGCCCCAAGCCGAGAGATCCTGGGGAACATCGCGGTAGCTGATCCTGCTCCCTCCGAACCCTAGAACAGCTCACAAGACAACGAATCAGCGCAACAACCGCAGCGCGCTGGGCGAGTAATCAGGAGGGCTCAGCTAGCCGGCGTCACAAAACGAGGTGAACTCACGGGGAAGCTGGGAGACCGAACCGTCCGGAAGCGGCGGGAGCCAGCCGCGTGACCTCCTCTCCACGACGGCGGGAAGGACGGGGAAGGCGACGAGTTGGGGTGCGGCCGTGAAACGCCGTGCCGTGGAGGAGTTTGGAGACACAAGCCGCCGCCACCGCAGGAAATGGGCCATGCGGCCCATTGAAGGAAATATGTATATAAGCTGAACAAAGCCCAGCCCATCAACGCCCAGGCTATAAGACCCTCGGAGAAACCCGCCCTAACCCTCCCTTCTCCCCGTCCGCCACCAGAGGGGGACGCCTGCGCCGCCTCCACCATCACTTGCCGGAGAGGACGCGACCTCTCCCGGCGACAAGTCGGTCCTCTTCCTCCGGGCTCGTCACAAGGTAAGCAGCGCCCCGTGCCCGTATACCTTATCCTTTCTCTTTGCGCGTGTCCTTCTCTATGGTTTTATCGATCGGAGCTGTTCATAATTTTGTTGAGGGATCTGGTGTAGTGTTTCCTGTAATCCGTAGCCAGTTAGATATGGTTTCATTGTTTTGTGCGAGAGTTGAGTTGTTTGATCGATTGATACGTTAGCGATCAATTAGCTGCTGCTTAGACGTGACATGGGAGAATTAATGTTCAGGTTGGGTGTACGAATTGGTTGTTCGAGCATGACCACTGCAACCTTCAATTAGTTTTGTTCTGTTTTTTCTGTGTGGATTTTGTTCAGCCAATCAAGATTCTTTTGTTCTTAGCCATGCTAAGGATGCATGTAGTCTCTTATTGGCATATTGCCTTTCCTATCTTGCTTTAATTGAAAAATCATTCTTGCAATATGATTTGGGCTCGCCTAGTCGCCTTAGGTTTTGCTGATGTCAGTTACATTTGCTTTTCTGATAGTATTATTGCTGTGCGTCATAGCAAGGTGCTGTGTGATTTAAATTGGTTTCTTGCCATGGAGTGTTCTAAAGCAATAGTTTCTCAGTTCGCCAATATCATGCTCAACTTAATATGGAAATTGGGTTGTCTTTATGTTTGGTCTGATTTGGTGTTTTCAACTTAATCTGCACCTTCTTGTGGAGATGCATATTGACGCTTTTTTTATAATCATTTCAAAATGAATGCTTGCAAACATTGTTTGTAGGTTATGTCATCTTACAATTTCTCATTCCTTATTATTATGCTGTGCAGCGTTCTCATTGTTCTCGTTTTACAGGAATTGATATTTAAGTTTTGTATCACCAAGATGGTGCAGTACAATTTCAAGAAGATCACTGTTGTCCCTCCTGGGAAGGACTTCATTGACATAATCTTGTCCCGCACCCAAAGGCAGACGCCGACTGTTGTCCACAAGGGATATGCTATCTCCGCATTCGTCAGTTTTATATGCATAAGGTTAGGTATTCCCAGCAGAACTTCTATGAAAAGCTCTCCACCATCATCGATGAGTTTCCTCGACTGGATAACATCCACCCTTTCTATGGTGATCTCCTCCACGTGCTCTACAACAAGGATCACTACAAGCTTGCCCTGGGTCAGATCAACACAGCTAGGAACATCATTGCAAAGATATCTAAGGATTACTTGAGGCTGCTCAAGTATGGAGACTCCTGTACCGGTGCAAGTGTCTGAAGGTGGCTGCACTAGGTCGCATGTGCACTGTCGTGAAGAGGATCAGTCCTAGTTTGGCTTACTTAGAGCAGATCAGGCAGCACATGGCCAGGCTTCCGTCCATAGACCCGAACACCCGTACTGTGCTGATTTGTGGATATCCAAATGTGGGGAAGAGTTCTTTCATGAACAAGGTTACAAGGGCAGATGTGGATGTCCAGCCGTATGCCTTTACAACAAAATCCCTGTTTGTTGGTCATACAGATTACAAGTACCTGCGCTACCAAGTGATTGACACACCAGGTATACTTGATCGGCCTTTTGAAGATAGGAACATCATAGAAATGTGCAGCATCACTGCTCTGGCACACTTGAGGGCTGCGGTGTTGTTCTTTCTGGACATCTCTGGATCTTGTGGATACAGTATTGCTCAGCAAGCTGCACTCTTCCACAGTATAAAGTCTCTGTTCATGAATAAGCCTTTGGTCATTGTGTGCAACAAGACTGACTTGCAGCCACTTGAAGGACTTTCTGAGGATGACATGAAGCTAGTCATGGAGATGAAGGCAGAGGCTATGAAGACTATAACCGAAGCTGGTGGTCCTAATGAAGAGGGTGTTTTGTTGACTATGAGCACTTTAACTGATGATGGTGTAATGGCTGTCAAAAATGCTGCATGCGAGAGGCTGCTTGAACAGAGGGTGGATGTGAAGATGAAGTCAAAGAAGATGATGGATTGTTTGAATAGGTTTCATGTTGCTGTTCCAAAGCCTCGTGACAACAAGGAGAGGCCTGTTTGCATCCCTCAGGCTGTTCTGGAAGCTAGGGCGAATGCTGCTGCAAAGGAAAAGAAGAAGCTTGAGAAGGACATTGAGAATGAGAATGGAGGTGCTGGGGTCTATTCTGCAAGTCTCAAGAAACATTATATATTGGCCAATGATGAATGGAAGGAGGATATTCTTCCAGAGATACTGGATGGTCACAATGTTGCCGATTTTCTGGATCCAGATATCCTAGTAAGGTGTGAAGAGTTGGAAAGAGAGGAAGGGCTTCGTCTGGAAGAACAAGCTGCAGAAGATGCTTTCCAGATTGATGGTCATGAACTAACTCAGGAACAGAAGGAGATTTTGGCTCAGATTAGGAAGAAGAAGGCATTACTCATCCAAGAACATAGAATGAAGAAGAGAACTGCAGAAAGCCGTCCTATTGTCCCTAGAAAGTTTGACAAAGATAGGAAATTCACAACTGATAGGATGGGACGTCAGCTTTCCTCCATGGGTGTGGATCCTAGTGCTGCCATGAATAGAGCTCGCAGCCAGTCTAGGGGTCGCAAGCGTGAGAGGTCAGTGAGCAGAGCTGCAGCTGATGGTGACGGTATGGAGATAGATAGCCAGCAATCCAACAAGAAACTGCGTCTGACATCAAGGTCTAGGTCGAGGTCACGGGCTCCTGAGGAGGTCGTTCCTGGAGAAGGATTCAAGGACTCTGAGCAGAAGAAGAAGGCTATCAAGAAAGCGAAGGCCGCTACTAGGAACAGGAACAAGGATGCTCGCCGTGGAGAGGCTGACCGCGTTATTCCCACTTTGAAACCAAAGCATCTGTTCTCTGGGAAACGCACTCTTGGAAAGACAAGCAGGCGATAAGCTCAGCTCCTCACTTTATCTGGTTGGTCATTTTTGCAATCAAACTTCTGTGTTGGCTTTCTTTGCTCTACTATTCTGTCCTGATATTGAGTTTTCCCTGTCTTGCTTTCTTTGTTCTACTATTGTGTCCTGATATTGAGTTTTCCCTGTCTTGCTTTCTTTGTTCTATTATTGAGTCCTGATATTGAGTTTTCCTGTTTTTACTATTGCAGGTAGTCAAGGACTGGTGCAATTTTGGTGTGGGCAATGTGATGATACGGGAGCTTTTGTGTTCAGCCAGCACTTATTTTTGCTACTATTTATGAAATGTCTTGCTGTATCGTGGTCCTCTTGAGACATAGTTTTGCTAGTTTATACATGTATTGCTCTGAATTGGTTTGGCTACTATATATTAGCTTTCTGGTGTTAATTTCTCTTGAATGGTACGAAGTTATTCATATGAAAAGTCTGTATTGTGTCCGTGAGATCTCACCGATCGATTCTTCTCTGTGCTTCTGTGTGGCAGGAATTATCTTAATTATGCTTTTGATTTTAGTGAAGGGCGGGCCTGGTGCAAGCGGTAGAGTCTTACCGCTTGTGACCGGAAGGTCCCGGGTTCGAGTCGCGGTCTCCTCGCATTGCACAGGCGAGGGTAAGGCTTGCCACTGACACCCTTTGCCAGACCCCGCACAGAGCGGGAGCTCTCTGCACTGGGTACGCCCTTTATGCTTTTGATTTTAGTCAATTAGTTGCTTAGGTCCTTAGTGGAACTGATAATGTGGTCCATGTCACCAATTGCTACTATTTTTGCTCCTCCTGGATTCAGGTTCAGAGTTCTAATCCAGTTCTAGTTTGTTCAAGATTGGTTCAGAGTTATAATCCAGTTCTAGTTTGTTCAAGATTGGTTCAGAGTTCTAATCCTGGGTGTCACACCAAATAGAAGGCTCTGCAACCATAGTTAAATTTAGTAGTTCATAGTATAATCAACTACTGAACTTGGTGATTTTCATTAGAATGAATTGCATGATTTGGAATTGAATTGCTATTGTTAAATGATTGTTTAACAATTCAGTTGATAATGCTTAGTTGTGCCACAACCAGAGATACATATAGGAGAACTGGATTTTTTTTCTTTCCCAAAAAATATCCTCTCCATGTAGGAGAAGGTAAATGCATGGATTATCCATCAATTTGCAGAGCTGTGACTGGGGAGGGTCGGTCGATTTTGGAGGGGAAAACATAAAAAGGAGGGAGCATGGATTAGCCATCTATTTGCAGAGTTGTGTGACTAGTGACTTTAGGGTCTATTTGCAGAGCTGTGACTTGTGACTTGAGGGAGCATGGCTGGTATGTGATGCCAGTCATAATAGATTCCATAGTTCTTTAAATTTCTATTAGTTGGTTGATTCATTGTTTAAATTATTTCTGGACATGTCATGAATATATTTTAGCTAAATGATCGGCAGTACTATATCTTTAGGCCATATTCTCATGTACTGGTGCGAAATATTATGCATAAAACGATACGTCCCGTACCATATATAGTAGCTTAGATTGAATACACGTTTTTGAACTCCTTATATACTTACACGAAAAGGTTAGATGAATAATTACTCTCTGCTGTCAGTAATGTACAACAAGCAAAGCTAGCAAAATCATTGCTTCACCAGAAAGTTTTTCAACTTTCTAGAATGCACCTCTGGTTTCAACTTTCATAGTGTTTTCTCAGTTTATCTTTTATTTGAAATATTTTCCTGGATTTATTTCAGGATTTAACGACACTATGTTTCCAGTGGTAGGCGACGTCTCCGTCAACAACGAGGCGCATGTGATGACTTCGTGAATTTCAAGATCTGCTGGTTTAGTCCTCCGAAGGTGTTCATAGGGGTATGATTTGTGTACGTGTGTTCATAGGAGGTGAGCGTGTGTGCGTGTGGTGGACGTCTACGTTGTACCGTATAATTCTAAACAAAATTGATGCTGATCCAGAAATGTATGAAAATATATAGTACTAATCTATGTAGCTACTTTCGTAAAGGATGTTATTTTGAGGCTATCTTAAGTAAAACATTTTAAATTTTAATTACAAATAAATTCTTTTGGGTTGAATTTGAAAATATGAAAGTAATGTAAGTAGATTCATCTTGAAATGTAGTTTTATAAAAGTATATATTGACTATATTTTATAAATATTTTATAGCAAAAAATAATTGTCAAAGTTTTTTTTTTTACACCGTATCGCTGTCCAAAACAACACCTTCTAGAAAACCGGGGGAGTATTATATAAGGAGTTGATCGTGAACTAACTGATTGGTCACTGCAAACATAATAACTTTTATGTTGAATAATTACAAAGCAAACAGTATCTTTATTGGTCCGTGCTTTTCTGTCTACAATATGATCTCAAAGGTGCGAGGCAGGACTTTCTTGAAGTAGCTGGTATTATTGATTATTTTTTGAACCTTAGTTTGATTAGCAGTACCTTAGAGATCCCCTGATGCCCCTATATTTGGGAAAACCATGACGACAAATGTAAATTGTGGTTTACCAATGATATATCTCCGATGGTGTATCAGACTTACCATATTGTTTGAGCAGCTTTCTGCTTACTCTCTCCATATTAAAAAAAAATAAAGTCGTTTTACACAATATTTGGGTCAAACATTGAGAATATAAATCATGAATAACTTTTAAGTTGTTGAGTTTGAAAATATAAAAACCGTATAAATAGATTTGTCTTAAAAAATACTTTTATAAAAATATATATATATCACTTTTCGATAGATATTTTTATAAAAACAAGAAGTCAAAATTATACTTTGGAGACCGTATCACTCTCCAAAACAACTTTATTTTTTAATATGGAGGGAGTATTTTTTTTTCAACTTATCATATTTACCAGTAGAGACAAGGATAGAGCATGAACATAATGCATTTGCTGACACATGGCAATGTGATCGAGACAAGTGGTGAAGCTCCAATAATAGCTCTAGTGAGGTGTTTGAGAAATGCTTTCTTCGGTTTGGTCAGCAGCATTTTGCTATGTTGCTGCTTTTCTGCATCCTTCGGCGTCTTCGCCATCCTGACGGCTGACCCAACATGGATGGGCGTTGGGACTGCTGGCGCTCGGCCTCTGGTTCGATGCCGTGCGTAGGCAGTGCCATTGTCGGGATCATCGGCGCGGGGGCGGAAGGGGCGGCCACGACGGCTGGCTGGTGGCTGCCGATCAATCTGAACCGGGAGCACCACTACCGCTTATTACTTGGTCCTGTCGTTGCTGTGCACGAACAAGGAGAAGCAACGCAAAGCCGGTGTTGTCCACAACGTGTTTGACGAAATGTATCAGGCAACAGCTACTCCAGGGAGCCAGCCTAGTAAGCATGACACATCAGCATGTGAAGCCCATGTGGAGGGGTATGAACCTAAGTGACTTTAAATTGAAAAGTTTATGATCCAAAAATCCGCTTTGGAAGTTTATGAACCTAATTAAAACCCTCTCGTAAGTTAATGGACCTTCCTCACATTTAACACTATAGTATCGCTTAGGACCAATTATTTTGTCGTCAGCCGAGCTGTAAACGAATAAATTCCAAATATCACTGACTGCCGTATCACGTGATCCAGAAAGTTTTAGATGAGAAATGTACAGCAACAAAAACCCTTGAATCTCTAATGCACAGCAGGTGCGTAGCCAGTGTTCAGCATCAATTTGCTCTAGACTTGAACGATGAAAAGGAGAAGAACGATCGATGCACTGCGATCACAAAAAAAAGAGGGCACAGTTAGGGTGTCAGTGAAATAACTGGCTCTGTTCACGTGCATATGAATAATCGTGAAGGAAGAACCTCTTGGTGATTTCGCGTATAGAACTGGTTCCTTCAGTTCAGAACTCGCAGGGTAAGATGGCCCAATGCTTTGCAAGGACCCAACTGCACAACATTACAATCAGAAGCTTCAATTTGTTGCCTGAAAAAAATCTGACAAATGGGAGAATCATAATCTCCTATCCTGTTTTCCTAGTTTGGAACAGATACAGGCATTCCTGTTTTCTTATAGAAGAGTATCACCAAATGGAATAGAAAAATTGGCAGCCTAGTGTTTCTGTGCAGTGGTGGTAATAACTGGTAAGTATGCCATCCAATTATTCAGTTACTCTCTGAGGAGTAACAATTTTTAACCATGGAAAATATTCAGTTACTATCCAAATGCAGAGGATCACTTGTTCAGACAAACAACATCTGAATCTGTTATGCACAGTGCTTCTTTGCCCCCTTGTTGTTGGGCTTTTGAACATGACTTTGCTTTTGCAAAAGCCAAAAGCCAACCAAAGGGATAAAAAACCACAGCTGTTTTAGTCCAAAAGCTGCTTGCCTACCAGGCAGGGTAGAAGAATTACCGTGTGGAGAGATGACATAACTGCTGTCCAGATCATCTGAGGAGTCCACTGTCAGCTTGGCCGAACCGCCAGCCGGGCACTCTCCGCTGATGCTGCCATCATCACCCACCGTCGCCGGAGGAGCAGGTGTCACGGAACGCGGGGCGCGCTCAACAGCTGCCGCTGCCTCGCTGGCCTTGCCGTTCCTCTTGCCGAAGGTTAGCAGCCGCTTGAGCCCGTTGACGGCGTACATCGGTGACTGCACACTGCTCCTCGGGGTGGTCGGGGTTGGTGGTCGCTTCTCGGCAACTTCCACTTCCGTGCTCTTCCTTGTCCATGGCGAAGTGTTGGACTCCGGCGATTGCTCAGTGGCGCTGGGGAGCGGGGAGCCCGTGGCCGATGTATCCAGCTCAGATCTTGGGGAGAAGGAAGACTGAACGTTTGAGTACAGAGATTCAGAGCTCTCCCTTCGGAACTCTTCTTCTGCGTCAGCGGCTGGGGTTTCTCCGGCGACCTCATTGCTGCCAGTTGATTCCATGGTGTCCTCGACATTGTAGCTGTCCTCGTTGTCAGGTCGTGGCTCAGGCGCTGGACATGTCCCGACACCAGCCGATGCCTGAGGAGGCCTCGGAATTTGCTCATCACTGTCCTTCTTGATGTACACGTAGCTCGGCTCGGTGTCAGAGTCTCCCGTAATCTCTTCACTCCCGAACTTGTCTGAAGATTGGTCGACATATTCTTGCTGGTTGCTTTTATTGTCAGCATTTGCACCAACGGCTGGAGGGATCTCGCTGCTGTAAGGTAGGTCCCTCTCCTTCGAAGCCACCAAAGGCGCTGACGTGGCTTCGATGTCGTTGCCTGACCTCGTAACAATAAACGGCTCGGGAGCGACGGCAGATGCCTTCCTGCGATCAGCGACAACCGTCTGCTCCCTGGAACAGGAACTGCTCCGCACCAAGGCTATGGCGTCGTCGGCGCGCGGCGACGGAGTCGGTTCTTTGAGGTTGCTGCTTGCACCGTCGTTGTAGCTAGACCGAGGGGGCTGGAACCGCGTCGGCCTGGGGCTCTCGCCGACGGCGACGGAGGAGCAGCCGCGGTCCTTGAACATGCTCCTGCTCCGTGACAGCATCATCGTCGACGTCCTCGGCCTAGGCGTGGCCGGTGATGCCGCCGCGGCCAACGCGGCGGACTGCGGCGGCGGCGGCCTGTTATTCTCCTTCCGTGGCGTGGCGGGTGGTTGCGGTTGCGGTTGCGCCTGCAGCTGCGGCTGCCCCCGGTGCAGGTGCGACGACGGACGCCGCCTGGGGTCGGGGGTGGACAGCCTCGGGCTCGGGCTGCCTGCCGCCAGCGACGACGGTACACTGGTCCGGGGCCGTGCCAGCTTCGCGGCCGGCGGGTGACCCGGGTTGCCGCCCCGTGGCGTGAGAGGGATGGATGGTTTCACTTTCACCACCAAGCTCCCGGGCTTCTGCGGCGGCTTAACTTGATCCTGAAAAGAGTTGTTTTAGGCAGTAAATTTCTTAGCACTCGATCGACACTTCAAACAAAAACTAGTTTTTAGAGAATCCGTATGAATCTGTGTAATGATTATATTGTGATCACAATTTTATGGTCATAAGATAGAAAGTAACTACTGTATGGTGTTACCGCAGCAGTGGAACCCCTATAGAGCCCCGAATTTTTAGGCAAATTCTATAGCGTAGGTGGGGCTGAGACTTAAGATCGGACAGCAGTCGAAGATATGTATCATTCAGTCCCCCTAAAATTATTCCTAGATCCGCCGCTGACCAAAAGCCTTGATAGTTCAACTAATTAAACAACGGATCACAAGAAAGCCACAAAAAGTATGCCTACAGCGTAAGGATTAAGCAGCGGGAGGAAACGTGATACAGAACAAATATTCTCGAGCAAAGACTATAAACATGAATCAAACGGCAAAAATTAAAGTCATTTGATTTGAAGAATCGTCAGAACAAATTGCCACAAGAAATGCAAGAAAAGGCCGGGCATATGATTGGAAAATGATTCCATGTGAGCTGCAACTGCAAGGAAGGAAGCCAAAGGAAGAGGCGTTTGAACGCATTTTAATTCGAGAGTTTACCTCTCTGGCATGACTCGTGGCTGCCGCCGCGAGCTCGCCGCCGTCATGGTCATCGCCGCCACGCCGGCTGCTGCTGCTCGAACCGGTGCGGTCGAGGCGCGCCCAGAGCGCCTGCACCTCGGCCTCCTTGCGCTCCATGCGCGCGCGCCACTCCTGGCGCAGCCGCTCGTCCCTCCTCCTCACATACTCCTCGTACCTTCTGCCCCTCCCGGCCGTGTCCCCGACGCGCTCCTCCTCCTCGGCGCCGCCGCCGGCGCGACGACCCGCGACCTCGACGACGGCATGCTGCGCCCTCCTCTCGGCGAGCTGGCGCTTGTACCCCGCGAAGTCTCGCTCCAGCTCGGCCGCCTTCGCCCACAGGTGGTCCGTGCCCGCAGCGCCCGCGGTCTCCCTCGCGCGCAGCATTGTCGTCGTCGCTGCAGGTGGCGCTCGCGACGACGGCATAGCTAGTCGCCGCCGTCGATCGCCTTGCTTGGCGTGATGGCGTCGTGCGCGCGCGGTTGCTTTTGCTGGTGTCGATGGTGAGCTAGGGGCGCTCCGCGCTTGCGCGGCTACGTGTGCGACCACGTGACACGGGGGGTGGTCAGTGGTGGGCTTTGTGCTTGGAGTTGGACGTGGTCGTGGGGGCACGGCACGGTTGGCGCGGCACGGCAGGGCCGGACGGAACATGACGAGCGCGTCTTGGTCTCTTGGACTCTTGGTTGACGTGTGGCGCGCGCGCGCGCGCGGTGGATCGGCAGTTTCGTTTGGTGGGCCGTTCGTGTTGGTTCCAAGCGGGTGGGCCGAAGCAGCACGGTGGAAGTGGATGTCAGTTGCCAGTTTTGTCCGTATATATGATATCTCTTTTTATTATTATTATTACACCTAAAAAAGACTAAAGTAATCATCTATCCAATGATACAAAAAAATCGTATACTATCCGGTCACATAGATCGGACTGCCAAATACGTATACTATCCGGCCACCGTTCCTCGCCCACGGCTGACGCGAGTCCACAGAGACGGTGTCAGAGCCAATTCTACAGAGTTCGTATTTGGGACGGTCGGCACCTCATCAGCTTAATTTAATTCCAAACAAAACGCACATACGGGTGTACGGGATCATCACAACCGGCGCCCCGCCTCCCAATCTCCATAAATGCTACAGCTCTATCTTGGCAGCTGTCTCAGAGTCACATGGGATCAAAGGTGTCCGATACGAATCATACTTTACTCAGCACTCACACGTCCACGTCATACTTGTAACGACCCGAAACCCGTTACGACCTAGGTGGTCATTTTTGGATGTCGAGAGAAATCAACTACCGAACCTCCTAGGGAAATTCATGTCGTGTTACTCAAGAGGAAACATCGAGAATTCGTTAACACGCCCAGCATAGAGAAAGAGAGCCTCTACTTGGACTGGAGTTTGTTCTATCGACATCAACAACACCAATTACATCTCAAGAACACGTGTGGGAAGGATGCACTAGCCACTGGCATCCATGATTCAATGACTTAATCAATTCATCACGAGACAGAGACTACCGGACGATCCGCCAGGGTATCGGATCCTCAGATAGAAACTAAGACAGCACAGAGTTAAGTGGAAATAAGTGATGTTTCCATTTATGGCCCTAGACCCACATGTTAGCACGAATGGGGATCTTTGTCAGCTAAAGCCCACCCTCTCACTCACTCACCCATTCATTTGCTACTCTCCCTCTCTCTCTACACCCAATAACAAGGATGAACCCTAGAACTAGAGAGAGAAAGGAGTGGAAGGAAGATTGGAAAGGGAGAAGAGCAAGGAAGAAAGCACCAACACTACTTCATGGACACCATCAACATCTCCAATCTTGTTCTTGGTGAGCTCAAGAGAAGAGTTCTATTTCTTGGATTGATCTTGATTCATATTTTGGTGCTTTGTAAGGAGAAGACCATGAGTAACCAATCTCTTGGATGAAGAAGTGGTAATGAGAGAAGTTTGGATCTTCAACCCTCCGGCCATGGGAGCTCTCGAATCTCAGAGCTAAGGATATTCATCTCAATCTCAAGGTTTACCTCTTTTCTCATGAGTATTCTGTTTGGATCCTAAAACCTTAGCCACACTTAGTACAACTAGCTCAAAACCTAGCAATCTTGAGCCTAGTAAGCCACCTAAACTATCTTAGGAATATTTGGCACATGCAAGGTGCACAACTCCACAAATCTAAGCTTGAACCTAGGATCTCCCAAGAGCATAGGTTCTATCACCCGATTGACGGAGTGTCCGTCAAATCAACGGAGTGTCCGCCAAACCCCCGAGAAGCTACTAGAAAGCCTTATCCGTAGTCAGCCTGGACCACCAAAGTGTCCGCGGTACCCCGCGGAGTGTTCGTTGAATTATAGAGCCTTATAGCCAGTGAACCTGAGAGTAACCAGTTCACACCGGAGCGTCCATCACTGACGGCGGAGCACCCGATGAATTATAGAGGATAGTAACCCAGCAACCCGAGAGAACCCAGTTCCAACCAGAGCGTCCGTCAGTAGACCGGACCATCTAATGTTATCAGTGAACCCTAGAAATAACTAAGTTCTGAACCTATCGAAGTATCCGTGATCTCCACGGAGTATCTGCCAACCTAAGCAGGACCAACCCAGAGGCCACTCTCCTCGGTACCCAACACAGCGGACTGTCCGTCAGCAGGACGGAGTGTACGACAATACACAGAGGATGTGAGGTTGTTTAGCAAGTCTACCCAAGAGGTTACCCATACTAGTTTATATCCTTTACCAAAAAGTGTACAGTGGAGCCATAGTTAGATGTCTCTTCCTAGGTTCCCAATGTTGACCTATACACCCATATCCGTTCTCGTTATCTCGATCATCGATGTATCTCCTCAGACGCATCTCTCTTACTCTTTCAGGAATGTCTCGAGTAAGGATCGTGTAATTGTACAAGTCGTCATTGTCAGCTACGAGAGTTAGGACGACAACAAATCAGGTAGGCACCCCACTACTATAAACCCTATTTTGGATACCTATGCAGTTTCATTATGAGTTATGCATTACATGTTGTTTGGTAGTAAACCTGTGCACTCTACACCTAGATTCACTCATTAATTCAGTAGAAGCCTTTCATCTAAACAATGGGAATGGAAACACTTAATTGCTTATTGCTTAGTTACTTAGCAACGGTAGAAGTCGAGTATGAGAAGGGAACTCATTCTCGCGCGTGTAGGATGCTACATTTGGATAATTAATCACTAAAACTGATGAGGGTACAGCTTGACTTACTTTACTAATCTGGCTAAGGACTAATGTCACTAAAAGTTATAGACTTGGATACCACGTTGGTAACTATCGCTCATGCGAGGGGTAGGTCATTGTGAGTGTGGGATCTCAAACGACGTAGCTCGTGGAGCAGCTAAGGACCGTTTATTGGGATACGTGAGTCCGAGTAACCACCCGTACAGACCACATGTCGCGGATGGGGTCGACAAGCCAAATAACTAATTGCGACTGGTTTATTCATGAAATTGGCAAGGGGGCGGCGTCGGTCGGGAATGTTTGGGACATTGACCAGGCACCAGTCAAACCTTTCGTCAGACATTCAAGCCGAATTAGGGAAAGGTTGGAAGACATGAAGCAGCCCTTACTCTCACGCAAGGGTATGGTGGTTAGTCCCGTTCTTCCGTGTGGGTATAGTTGTACACCTCTGCAGAGTTTGAAAGCCTGAAGTCCCTCAGGACAGAACCATTCGGTTGTTCTTACTTTCGATACCCATGGTAGAGAAATGATGGAACATGATGATGTTGTGACATATATTTATTAATCACACTTTTGGATATCAGACTTCTTTAATGAATAATACCTTAAAATGGATCATGAGCATGTCATCTAAGAAACGCCATGTACTTTTCGCAATTGTACAAATACCCATTGAATACCCTTTGCATCTACCAAATATCTATATGTTGGAATTAAGTCCTGCGAGTACGAAATGTACTCACGGCATTGCCGTTAAATTGTTTTGCAAGTAGTTGAGGTTTTCCTATGAGGCTAGCTCTGATGAATGCCACGGTTAGTAGATCTTGGAAACCCTCCAAGATGAGCTACGTGTGACCCGATTAGTAGAAGAGTGAAATGAGGTGTAACTATATATGGCCATCGGGCCGGCCCGGCACGCCCTGGCCCGGGCATGGGCCAGGCAAGGCCCGCAACTTCTTGGGCCGGCACGGCACGTCGTGCCTGCTGGCCATGCCAGCACGGGCCTCGTGCCTGGCATTCGGCCCAAGCACGGCCCTACGGGCTGATTTTCGGGCCATGCCAGCCTAACCGGCCCGGCAAAAATATCGGGCCATGCCAGCCCACAGCCCGCAATTCTATAAACACACCAGCAAATTCAGCTCTAACTTCAGTTTTCAAATTTGAAATCAAATTTCACAGAAAACATAAAGGTTAAGAGATCACAGATTCACAATCACAACTCACAATCACAAGTTCACAACTAGACCGGATTCAAAGATAACAATTAACAACTAGACCATTGACCAGTCATAAGTCACAACTCACAACTCACAATCACAAAATAACAATGCACAAACAAGACTTAAAAAGATAATTGAGTTGTGTGCAATGCTGCCTCATTAAAAACCTTTCTAGGTAAAACTCACCCTTGTGAGAAACCCTAGAAAGGAAAAAAGAGTACAACACAACTCTTATAATGATAAGTTCAAAGTTCAGATACAAATGTCACTCTCAGTTTCATCTCAACTCTCATCTCTCATCTCCCCTCTCAATCTCAAGTTCTCAACTCACTCTCATCTCTCAACTCTCTCAGAAGTCAGAACAGAGAACACTAAGTACCAGCAGAAGTAGATGCAGAAGCCACTGATGTACCAGCCGAAGGAGCCCCAGATGCACTCTGAATTTCTTCATCAAGATATAAATGCTCGAAGTAGCTTGCCAACTCTTGGTTGTCTGTTGAATGCTACAGTCTTCATTCTCCCAACTCCCAATCCTTGATGCAAGCAAGCATCTCCACATGTTCTGGCAACAAGCGTCGGCGCCGCTCTTCAAGTATCCTTCCTGTCAAGCTGAAGCATGATTCTGAAGACACAATAGACACTGGAACAGACATTATATCTTTTGCCATTATAGATAAAACAGGAAAGGTTAGTTTGTGGTCACGCCACCAGAGAAGCAAATCAAAGTCATTTTCATATGCAGTGACATTGTCACTGTCCAGGTAAGCTGTGAGCTCACAACCAACAGATGAAGCAGATGAAGTTGGGGTAGGGGATGGACCAATAACACCAGAGGCTCTAGGGCCTCCAAATATTCTTCCCCAAGCCTGTTTTCTCTTACCAGTTTGGCCTGCAGGATGTGCAGCCCTTCTATTCTTAGCTGCACCAAACTTGCTATCATACTTGGCAAACAACT